ACTAGCGCAGATGTAGCAGAAGTCAAGAAAGTAAAGTGTGATACATAACGTGACCTCTGAGGTTTCGTTTTAGTGAAAGCACATGCTTACAAATGGCATAGAATTTGTGTGGACAGCAGAATTAATCAATCTCAGCAACCCTTAATGTGGAACAAATAATAGTTTTCTTTCTTTACATTTGAAATTTTTGGAAGTTGAACTGTTTGGGGTGGTTTCTAATTTGCAGTGGGTTTCTGTATCGTGTTACTTGGACGCTGTGTCCTACTGCTGTATGTGCCACTGCATCTGTTTCCAAAGAATCTTAAAATTGTAAATAAGAAAATAAAGCAAAGTTCTAGACTTTGAATCACTGTCATTTAACTTTATTGTTAAACTGTCATTTTATGAGAAATAAGTTGAATTAACAGAAGCTCTGCAACAAAAGGGCCAAAGCATTAGGCTCTGAAAGCAAGCTTCTTGTTTCTTACAGTTCTCTGTGGTAGGCAGTGAGTTGTAACTGCACTCACCGCTGTTACAAGTTAACATTTATGTACATAGACCTGATTAAGTCTGTAACAATGCGGAAGATCATGATAACCGTAATTTCCGTTCCATTATAGTTCTGCTGCTTTTCAATGGGGTGTTTAGAAATACCCAGTCAAAGCCTATCTTAATGTTAGTAGTATCAGTTCCTGAAACCCCACAATGCTATTTAACCACTATCAGAGATTCTTTGTGCACAGTTAGTTGACGCTCAGTGCTACAAATGCAGCCTATCAAACAGGCTTTTGCTCCATAATTCTTCAAAAATAGTTCTTAAAAATAACATTTTAAGTGTAAGAAATCAAGCAGTGAGCAAATCAGGATGCTCAGAAAAAAACCTTGTAGCTTGAGCACAAGTGGCAGCTCTATTTTTAATGGAATCATGGCATCCAAATAGAAGTTTTAGAGCATCTTGTTTCTTCTTGGTTTTGAATCACAGAATCCCAGCTTGGTTTGTGTTGCAAGGGACCTCAAAGCTCCTCCAGCTCCAACCCCTGCCACAGGCAGGGACCCCTTCCACTAGAGCAGCTTGCTTCAAGCCCCTGTGTCCAACCTGGCCTTGAGCACTGCCAGGGATGGGGCAGCCACAGCTTCTCTGGGCACCCTGTGCCAGCGCCTCAGCACCCTCACAGGGAAGAGCTTCTGCCTAAGAGCTCATCTCAGTCTCCCCTCTGGCAGGTTAAAGCCATTCCCCTTGGCCTGTCCCTTTTGCATTTGAGGTAATACTTAGGTTGTTGGCTTTTATCTGAGGTCAGATCAACAAATAAATAAGCAGGTAAGAGCTAAGGTGTGGTGTCGTTCCACTCAGATTTACTTTTCTTCGTGATTAATCACACTGATTTCAGTAGACTAAAACCTGTGGGCACATAAAATGCCTGGATGCTGGGAATGCAGGGTGCTTGTGCAGTAGGTGAAATTCTGTGCTGCAGATCTGTATGATGATGCCAGCTTGAGCAGTTCTTATGAACCCAGTCACTGTCTCCACCTTCACCAGTCCACATGAAGGTCCCGCAGCCGAGCCTGTGTTCTAAGCCCATCCCAGGCCCCTGGCTGTCATCAGCCTCACTGTAACTTGTTTTATCAAGGAGAATTCTGGAAAGAACTTCCTTCCATCCGTGTTTTTCCTTGATGCGTGGAGCAGTGCCTTTGTGAGCCCACAGGAACAGGCACTTCTTACACAGGACTTGCTGCCTTTCCACTAACTGTAAAGTTGTGATGGTGTGTGTTTTTCTTTCTTGGTTTTAACTGGGGGCTTTGTATGTGAGTTTAGGAAAGTTATTTTCATTGAATTTTACCTGTAGCTTGCATGTGACTTGAAGACTTACCTAGGTTAGCTCCTTGAGAGGCAAAGTGTACTTTTCTCTACCAGAAGAGTCTCCGTACTCATATTGCTATTTAAGACTAATCTGTTTTTTCAATCTCTTTGAAGAAAGCCAGAGCATAGGGAAAGTTCCTCTCGAGGCAGCAGTGGTTTCTGTTGCTTGTGCCAGTTTCTTCAGTTTGGAATTAAATCCCAGGTGGCAATAGTTCTGTCTTGTGTCAGGATTTCTTTGTCCTGGCTGTGTCCTGCTGGGATGTTGACCTCGAGTCCTCCACAGCAGCGTCTCCTGCATTTTCCTACTTGCCTCCTCCATGCTGCAAAGAAGAAACCCTCAGAGGTGAAGGAAGCTGGCTGGGGGTCAGGCAGCATGCTTGTCAGTTCCATGCGTGACAGTGTTTGCTGGTGGGTGCAGCGGTTTGTCAGGGAGATGGGCAGGACCTCACGGTTGCGCTTTGACAAATGAGCGGTGTCTAATCTCTGGATGCGCAGCGTCTCATAAATAATGCAGCAGCCACTGATCCAACACACGGGTCTGCCTGAGAAGAGTGAAAGACAAAATGAAACTAAGTCATCCTTTTTGTTCAGCGTATCGCTGCTTTTGTACTTCTCAATAAGGGTTTATCTAGTGGCAGGCTGCCTTTTTTCCCCTCAACTTCTGTTGAGTGCATCAGATGTATTTACAGGCTCATCAAGTTCTGATTTAAAATGTATGTGGTTTTCTATTCCAATATGAAGTCTGTTGCAATGCTTTTTCATTTCTCACTTGACTTTCCTTTACTCTCTTCTCATATGTAATTTCCCTCTCGCTACCTGGAGGATATTATGTGTCTGTGAAGAAGTAGAAGTAAGCAGCAAGCTCATGACACGTATAGGTGAGATCCTGACAAGGCTGCCAGGACACAAGTGGAACCGGGATCAGGGTGTCCCGGCCAGAGCCCCTCAGGTCCATGGAGTCTTGCTGCAGAGGGAGCAGGGCTCAGTGCTGGGGGGGATGTGAAGGAGCGGGAAGGTAGAGGATTGTCCCTGTTAAGGGAATCTTGTAAGCTTCAGGACAAGTTAGAATTCAGGCTGTGCTGGAGGTTGTGGCTTCCTCTTCTGCCCAGGCATTTAGGTGCAAGTTGGATGGCTGTGTATCAGGCATGGCTGGAATTTGTAACCTGCAAACCCTGAAAAATATTCTGGTGGAGGAACAGTCCTCCCTGTGATACTGGGGTTGTCTTTCCAGGCTGCCCTTGTGTGTGTCTCAACACATCTGGCTAAAACTGGTCTGGGATGCACTGGGTGCTGCCTGGGTGGTGCTGCTGGACCCAGTGAGGGGAGCCTAGCACTTCTGGTGGGGTGAGCCTGCAGCCTTCCTTCAGCAGCCTCTGCAGGGGCTGCACCGGCATTTCACCTGAGTGTTTGAGACCCACCTTGGGGCTGGATGGTCTCTTGCACTTCAGATCTTCAATTCTCTATTCTACCAGTGTAAGACACTGATTGCCACAAGCATTATTATCACACTGCTGTGATGTGTGTGTCTGCATCATGGTCTGGTCACAGCTGAGCTCCCTCAGGCCCTCTGTGAACACAACCCCAGCAGTCTGACAGTGGGTACACAGGAAATGCGGGATGCAGATATTTGGAGTTATTTCCTCTATCTCATGGGGTCCTAAAATCAATGGTGGGCCGACTGCTGTTCTCACCAGCCAGCCAGCACATCCCAATCAGTCTCAGGATGGATGGCGTTTCAGCTTGTGTCTCCATTGGAACCCAAGTGCTTGTGCCGCTAAGGGGTATGCTTAGGTAGCACCCCAAACAAAGGTGCTTGCTCTAATAATCACCGAACCCTAGAATGGCTTGGCCTGGAAGAGACCTTACACTCATCCAGTTCCAAGCCCCTGCCATGGGCAGGGACACCTTCCACTGGAGCAGCTTGCTCCAAGCCCCGTCCAACCTGGCCTTGAATAATGAATTGTTGAGGGTTAGGATCTCAGAAACCTTCAGAAACCAGGAAAGTACTTAAGTATTTGTCAGGGACAAGTACTTATATTCTGCTGAATATGAGTTGCCTTTGGTATGCTTTTAAAACGCATTTGTTGAGATGGGAGTTTATCTGTGAAGGCAGTCGACATTACTGCTATGCTGAGATGCTTTACTCAGTCATGGACTAACCTTTAAACTGTAACAGAATCCCATAGCTGGATTAGGTCATTGTTTTGACAAAAACTGAAGAGAATAGTTGCTGAGGAGGAGATGAGCAGAAGGAGCTGTACATCCTGTCTAAATCCCAACTAGGAACGTGCAGTAATTTGTTTTCAGTAGTAACTCAGTTGTTTGTTTCATGTATTGTTGCGGGCACTGAACTCTGCTCAAGCTGATGCTTAGAGACACACCAGTTCTGCCAGCGTCAAGAAGCTTACCATGTATTCAAACGTCTCAGCCCCTCTGCTACTTGTATACCAAACATACAAGTCACCTGTATATTCTTTCTCTTTGGGTCAGTGAACCCTGAGAAAACACCCGCCTCTGTGGCTTCACTGATGCCAGGAGCAGCCACTGCTCTGTACTGCTCAGCGTCATAGTTACATCCAACAGTTACCAGCATGGAGAGCTGTACAAGCGGCACAAATACTCCCGACACTCCTGTTAGGTTTGAAGTGTTCCTGCCCTGCAGCTGGCAAAGGCACTGACACTGCACAGCATGGGAGGATGGAAAATCTGTGCCTGGCTCTCAGGCGTTCTTGGATCTCTCACCCGTCTCTCATTTCTGTCCTGCAGTCTCCAAAAGCATTCGTTTTGCATGAAAGTGAACCGGAAATTGTCAGGCTTCTTTTACACAGGAATTGTGGGGATGCGGTGGGTGTTTGGGAAGGGATTGTCTGTATTATGGATTGCATCCGCCCCCTGGCATTTCTACCAGTCCACCTGGGAATCCTGCCCTTACTGTGTTCAGTCAGCTGCCAGGGATCTTCTGTACAGTGGCTTATGAAGCTTCAGAGAAGCAGCAAAGGAAATGAATATTTGCATAGATCTTAGAAAATGTGAACTATTTATTAGTCTTTAATTTCTGTGGGTTTGGTTGGTTGGGTGGTTGGGTTTCACTTGGAAAGCACGATGCTTTTGGGGGTTTAGTTGGCCAAAGTCAATATTTTATAATCTCTGGTTGTTTTTGCAGGCTCTAGGAAGTTTTTACTTTCTTCATGAATCTTTGAAAAACATCTACCAGTTTGATTTTAAAGGTAAGCGAAGGAACTGCATGTTGGTTGTTGCTGTTTATACATCACGGCAGCCTTTCTGATGGTAGTTCCTAGCAGTGGTTTCCAGGATGTGCGGGCTCCTGTCTGATGCATGCGAGTCCCCTGACAACAGACAGGACTTTTCTTACCTTTTATAGCACTCACAGGAGAAGTCAATGAACCGGCCACAGGTTGAACACTGGTGCATTAATCATTCCCAGGCAGATGGACCTTTGGATCTATAGAGATCCCTGATGATTTCAGAAGAACTCTTAATGGCCACAAGGTTCTTCCCTGTAGATCAGATATAAGACCAAGACCTTAAATGTCCAGCTGTGATGGTCATTTTGCAAAGCAGCTGAGGTAGATTTATGGCTTAAATTACTTTGGAGCAGTGCAGGTCAGTAGGAGGGTGTCATTGTTTCTAACCCACATTGATCAGGCAGGTTGGAGGTCTTGCTAAATCTCCAAAGTTTAAAAGGAATGCTAGGCTATGGGCATTAAATATTGGAAATCTCATAGAGAATTATTGAATGCTTCCGGGGGTGTATGTAGAAAAGATTATATAAAATTTATGTTATTTCAGTGGAGAACTGTCTGTATATTAAATACAAAACCCTTGGGAGCTTCATTTAGCTTACTGAGCTGAATCACATTAATACCACATCCAGCATCCCATTAATTTGAGACACTGCTGCAATGGTGGTAACTATGGAGTGAACTGATTGTCTTAATTACAGAGATTCATTAGTTTTGCTCTCAGTAGAGACAGATTCTTTCTGAGTGTGTAATTGAGGGTGCAGGGTCTTCCTTCCCCTAGATGTCTGAACAGTGGTTCTGTGTATATGGCAACTCAGGATTCAGCCAGCATAACTCCTTCTGTCACCACTGGTTTCAGTGCAGAAGGAAACTTCTAGCTGTATTTTAGACAGTTTGGAGTAGATTTTATTTCTGAGAGATCATAATGGAAAACTCAGTGGTGATGCAGGGACTTCTAATACAAGGTGTGGGAGAAAGACTGGCTTTCAGTGCAGGTTTGCGGGCACTAAGGGATGACAGTGCTATCAGCTGGACTGGGTGCAGGGTAGAAATACTGGAGCCAACTGGCATTGCAGGTGAAGCTGTGGGTCTGAGGTGCTGTCTCTGGACTGACCAGCCTGCTGCTGCACGATGTTTGTTCATTGTGCCACGTGAAGGCTTTGAGTATCAGTGACATGAGAACTGCATCTGCACACCCAGTTCCTGAGCCCACAGCTTCATCCCACCCGTTCTGCTCAGGATTCCACCTAAAGTTCCCTCTGACCGGTCACAGGGGAGGGCTGCTCTAGTGACATCTGAGAGAGGGAAGTGATGAGTGGTTTAGGAAAAGAGGAGCTTTCTGGGTTTGTTAACTGTTGATGCACACCCTGTTCACTACTCTACAGCTTTTGAAAGAAAACATAAGGAGAAAGTGAGAAAATGAAAGGAAAAAGTGTAGGGGAAAATAATTATAATTGATATTATAATATTGTCAATATTGGAATCAATATAAAGAAAGAAGCAGATATAAATATAGATAGATATATAAATATATACAGATAGATAAATATAAATAAATATTATATATAAATATACAGATAGATAAATATAAATAAAGAAAGAAGCTCCAGAAAATAAATACTTTAAATTTTCAGTGACTTGTTTTGCGTGGCAAGCCTGAGCAAGGCCAGACAGGGTGTGAGCTGCACATCAAGAGGTGTTTGGCCAAGTCATGACTTGAGAAAAGCAAACTCTTGATAAAAACCCAAGGAAGCGGCCGATCATGTTGTAAGTCACCCGCTGCCTCTTAGCGCAGAGCAGAATCAGTCTCCCCGGGTAGTGTTTGTAAAATACGAGCTTGAAGGCTCCCATCTTTCAGGGGAAGTGTAAAACTTGCCTCTTCTCTCATGACTATTGACATTTTCACAGTGTAGTACGCTCCTAAATCAGAGGGAAAATCCAAACAGTTACAAACGTTCTCTGCACAAAAATCATTATGAAATTCTGGTTCTACTCAAAAGCATGCAAAGAATGGATGTTTATCCACAATTCGATATTCCCGGAACATCACTGTGTCTTTTCACTGCGGAGCTGGATGTGACTAATACAGTATTGGGGGGGGGGAAGATTGTTTTTTAGTTCTCAGAAAAATTGAGTTTTAAAATGAGAACAATGTTCTCCTACAGCCCCACATATTATTTGCTACAGTGCAGGTGGTGTTGGACTCTATACTGTCATCAGAGGCCCAAATGTTTGCTTACAAGTTAATGTCTTGACAAACCACGTGTTCTGAAGGGCCATCATCCAGCAGAAGGGTTTGCTGGCCCAGGCATTAGCCCAGGTTTCATCCACTGCTTTGATTGACAGGAAGAATCTCATTTTCCCTGGTTTGGAATCAGAAATAGTGCACAGATATCTTTATTTGGAGAAGACATGGCATGTAAATGAATCGGTGGGTTGTAGTTAGCAATGATGTTAACACAGGGTGATGGTGAAGGGCCTCCTCTCTGCCAAGTGCTGCCTTTTACTTAGGTTCTCACAGCAGGCACCGTTGGTCCTTCCAGTTCTGCCAAATGTGTTCTGTATCCTGAATGACATTGGGATCGTTTTGATGACACTGTTAAACCTCTTGAAAGAGGCACATCCATCCGTGATCTACTGAGAAGGATGCCACATGAGTTTGTCAGGGTATTTGTTTAACCTTCCTGTGGGAGCCAGACCTCAAAGGGATCACCACATAAAAAATGATCCTTCCCCGCTCCCCCCCAGAGATATCCAGCTGCATCACAGTAAATGCTTCCTCAGATTATATGAAATACTTTAGCTAGATGACTCCAAGTGACAAGGTTTTCCATTGCTTGGTATTTCCACCAGATATCCAGTAGAACCGGACGGTTCAGGACTCTTGGTGATAATAGTTGTTCTGGAGTTTTTCTCTTGCACGTTCCTAGTCAGACTCGATCTGGTTGTGTTGTTCCAGCTCAATGGTAGCTGTAAGATAGCTGCCAAATTCCTGTGTCAGAAGAGTTAGGTAAATGAAGTCAGGTTCTTTCCTGTAGGCATGCCTAGACATTGCCCTGATCAGGAGAGACCAAGTACAAAGTGGATCGAGAAGCAGAACCTCTTGTTCATGAGCTGTATAGATCCATAGATCGATTGTTAGAGCTGAAGAGTCCGTTCTCCTTCTGTCTGTGGTGTGCCCTTAAGGACTTTGGAAAGTGGTGGGCTTTACCACCAAGTCTCTTTGACAAACCCAGCACCTGTTCCAGCTTTAATGCACACGTTGGCCTGTGCTGACAGCCAGGAGTGGATAGTCTGGAGGAGGTGGGTGGCTACAGGGTCACCGAGCAGCCAGTATGGGGTTTGAATGGACCGAGTCCAGCTCATCTCCTCCATATCCCCAGAGCAAGATACTTTTACCTTCTTGGTTTGAAATAATCTGACCAGAACTGATGCAGAAGCCTGGTATCAGTGAAGGCCATTCAAAAATAAGATGCTATTTTACTTTACGTGACTACACGAATCACTGGGACTTAGCTGAGCTGCATGTGTAAGCACAGGACATTCCAGAAGGAAATCAGAAGAAGGACACCTCTTGTCTGATCTTTATGTTTATCTGATGTTGGGTTTTAACCACCCAGCTGAAACCTGGAGGTTTCTGGTACTGGCCGTGCTTGACCAGGTTGACCCAGCTGGCGTGTCGCAGGAGGGCTGTGCTGCGTCCCACCGCGCTCCGCCTGGTGCAGTGCCTGCTCCTGAACACAGCAGAGACCCAGGCGACATCCTATGGTGGCAGCCAGCAGGCAGTGGCACCTCAGGATTTCGGAGCTTAACAACCGTCTCCTCAGAGGCTCTGTTCATGTCTGAGCTCAGCTGGAGCTGTAGGCATTTACATCATCACGAATAGCCAGGCTTTTTCAGCATCTTGCTCAGTGAGAGGATCCTGGGCAGGAAGTTGCCCAGCAAAATAATGTGTTAAGTAGAAAAAATAACGTCCTCTTTTAATCTGGTTTCCCCTGGCTGTCTCTCAATTCCATTGGTGTCTCCATTTCTGGTTTAGGATGTTACAGTAGAAATTTCTATTTTTCCTGTTCTAGACCCCTCAGTAAACCACTTGGGTTTGCCCCAGTGTGTTCTCTGCTACTCTTTTGTCCCTGAGGGAAAGCATTCAGTCTGTTCATACAAACGCAGAATCCCAGCCTGGAAGAGACCTCAAAGCTCACCCAGCTCCAACTCCTGCCATGAGCAGGGACCCCTTCCACTAGAGCAGCTTGCTCCAAGCCCCTGTGTCCAACCTGGCCTTGAACACTGCCAGGGATGGGGCAGCCACAGCTTCTCTGGGCACCCTGTGCCAGCGCCTCAGCACCCTCACAGGGAAGAGCTTCTGCCTAAGAGCTCATCTCAGTCTCCCCTCTGGCAGGTTAAAGCCATTCCCCTTGGCCTGTCCCTACAGGCCCTTGTCCAAAGCCCCTCTCCAGGTTTCTTGCAGCCCCTTTAGGCACTGGAGCTGCTCTAAGCTTTTCCTGGAGCTCTGTATGAGAACTTTTTCCATGTTTCTTCTTTTGTCTCAGGACATTGCAGTATTTAGAGATTCAGTTGGTGACTGGAGGATGTCACCTCTCTTTTCAGAGACAATTGTTAATGAAAAACCAGTCTACCTCAGATCTGTTCCACAAGAGGAACGGGCTGCTCAGCTTGTGGTCAACTCATCCTTCATTAGGAGCTCCACCAGCATTACAGAGTCAGTTCTGGAGTGAGAACCACACTAGAGGCCACAGCCTGCCCAGCAGACAGCTCAAGTGTGTCCAAACACAAAGAGAACGATGATTGTCAATATTGATGATTTAAAGGAAAAGGCAGAAAGTGAGATATAACCTAAATTAATAAGTACTTGTTGGATGGGTTAAAGATGTGATTAATAGTGTGTTACATACGTGCATCAGTTGATGTTCAGGTAGGTGGACTTAAAACCTGAAAACAGGAGTTGCTGGATGAAACATACAGATCATCAGTGCTCAGAAGTAACATTCTGTACCTGAATGTGTTTTGCATTAATTAATTTGCCTGTCAATCACCCAGCATGGGTTGCTGGATGCTGGCTGAGGGCGCAAACAGGCATCTCCTGGAAGAACCATGACAAAAAGTTTGAGTGCAAGGGTGTGCAGAGACCTGGCTTGTAATTAGAGCTGCAGCCCTGTACAGTGCTCTGGGTAGTAAAATATCAGACCCATGCCTGTCTCACCTCGAGAGGTCTGAAGCAGAGGCACCGGTTTGTGTGTGCTTAGTGGGCTCTCTTTTTAACTCCACAGCAGCTCAGTGCTCATGTATTTTGGCCGAGGCCCTACCACCTCTTTCGCAGATGCCACTGCTTTGCCAAGGAGCGCTGTAAGTTGCGCGTGATGCCAAAGATAATTCTGTTAATTTTGTTTTTTGTCTCTTCCTAGCTAAGAAGTATAAAAAGGTTACTGGGAAAGAAATCTACTCTGACACTTTAGAGAGCACGCCCATGCTGGAAAAAGAGAAGTTTCCACAGGATTATTTCCCTGAGGTATGTGCAATCCGCGGAGTGTGCCCAAATACTCGGTTTGTTCCTGACTTGGTCTGGTGACTTGAGCAGCTACTCCCAGTAATGTAAATAAGGTCAGAATCGAGTCTTGGGTTTTTATTTGTTTGTCAGTTTCTTGTCACCTATAATGTGTGTTTTAAGTCATTGCATGGATTTACCCAAGTCAAATGGAGTTCTTTGTGTAGTAGGAAACCCTTGTGAGGGATGGAGACAGTAATGAAAAGGCTTGTTTGTGCATTTAAAACCAAAGGAATGGCCCACAGTGCCAACTGCAAGTCCGTTTCAGGGAGAATTACTCCTTGGCAGGGGGAGACACGACTCTGAATGGATTCCATTTGTATTCGGCCACTCTGGGATCATGGCTGGAGCGATGCTGGTTCCTGTTTGGTACGGTGAGGAATCACTGCAGTCCAGCCAGCCTGTGGGAAAAGGGGCTCCTTACTGGTGCAAGAGTTCACCTGACTTACAACATATTGGTGTGTTCCTCTGGCACTGCCCTGGTACCCCCTGGTTTTATTGTTCTCATAAGAACTGAGGAGTGCTGCGGGTGTGATGGTGAAGATGAAGGTCTTGTCAAACCCAGCAGCACTGAGGGCTTCCTTCCACTGCCCCTGCAAGTGCAGTTGCACATGCAAGCAGTCTTTGCCAGCAGTTCTCTTCTTTGATGCTTACTTTTATTTGCTCATTTTTAATTTCTTAAGAGCATCTAACAGTGGTTACAAGCCAAGTCAATAGATCTGTGGAATTTGTTTTACATTTGTGCATCAAACAGGCATGTTACTGCTTTAATACAAGGGAGAGCTAAATAAGCTCTAAAAATAAATCTAGAATGTGTAAATATACACAGAGCCATTTGCATAGTGCATGTCTGCTTGGGAGAACGTCGATGGGTAATTACAGGGCGCATGGCATGTAGGTTATTCTTTTCCTTGATACTGAATTATTTCTGTCTCTCCGTGCTGGAAGGGAAGCTCCTTTGCCATAATTTTATTATCTTTTACCTCCTGTGAATAAACAGCTTTAATACTCCTATGAATTGTTCCATCATTTTGAAGGCCCTTCAGGCAGTTACTCAGCTATTTGTTTTTCTCCTCCATCAGCAGTAAGCTCTAAGCTGAACCACTGTGGGTGATTGACAGCAGGGTAGGAAACGAACAGCACCACTGAATGATTCAATTGTAATACTGAGAGCAGTGAACAGCAATAGGCCAAATTATGGATTGCTCACTGGTACCAGGGAGAATGATTCCCGTTGTTATTTCCCTGCTGTTGTTTCATCATCAGACTGGCAAATGTGTAACTTGCTCGGCATCATTCGTTACGCCTCTTGCATGAGCAGCTCCTCACGGTCTCTTGGAGACGTGGCTGAGTCCAGTGGCTCTCTCACACTGCTGTGGAGCAGGGATCGTGTTCATTTCCTGCTTGGGGATCAGGTGTTCCCACACTGGCGTCTGGAGCAGTAGCTCCTGTATTCAGTGCACTCTGCAGTGCTGCTTTAGCTGCAGGGCTGTGAGGTTCAGAGCCCAAGAAGCATCTAAAAGAAGAACTTAAAGCACTGGCACAGGGTGCCCAGAGAAGCTGTGGCTGCCCCATCCCTGGCAGTGCTCAAGGCCAGGTTGGACACAGGGGCTTGGAGCAAGCTGCTCTAGTGGAAGGGGTCCCTGCCCGTGGCAGGGGTTGGAGCTGGAGGAACTTTAAGGTCCCTTCCAACCCAAACCACTCTGTGATTCTATGATTTCATGATATACACATTTCTATTTTTAAAGCTGAAATTAATCGTGCTGTTTCCTTCCTCGAGAAGTGTTGGTAATAATGATGCCAATTCAAAGATTACAAAACAATATCTAGGTTGAAAACTTGAGTTGAAAGTATGAGCAGCATATCTCCAAACATCACATTTACATGCTCTTGTGTGTTTTAGCCACTTCTCCTATCACATGTACAATGTTTTGTGTGAGAAACAGTTTAAGACTGATTTCTTTTTATTACTGCTGCTTAAGGATGATCTAAAAGTAATTACAATGATTGAGGCATAATGCAATTCAAAATAATTACAGCCCACTGCATATAAAACTAACAAAACTTTCTGTCTTGATTTATGGCTCCTCTTGGCTAGGCATGAGACTCAAATGATGCCTCTGGGAGCAACACTCCAGATAATGTTAGGCCATTTAAAAAAAGCAGATTTGTGTAGTCTATCAGGCCTGAGTAATTTTTTTTCCCCATAGTGAGAAATTGGTTGTTATCATAGATCACAGATACTGCTCAAAGCTCTTGTGAAAGATGAATTAATTTCACTAATGCTTTAATGCAAACCTTTCATGGAGAAGGCTGTATGGTGATAACCTTACTGCGGTCTCTCCTTTCTCAATGATGATTTATGTTGTCTTTTAGTAGATGAAACTGGCTGTATTCACAATCCATCTGCTGGCTAAAGGAATCCTATTAACAGAGGATCTGAGAAGAGACTTAATACTGTAAGGTGAAAGATGTGGTACCCCCTTTCTGGGACATGCAGTAGAAATTTTTTCTCCTATTTTAAAATGTAGATACCTCTCTGAGAGTGTACAGATGATCTGTATCAGCTCTGTCTGGTTTTATGCTGGCTTACAGATGGTGGAGCAGCTAGTAACTATTTGTTAAACTGAAAATAAAGATTGTGGCTTTGAAACGTGCAAGGAGAAAGCATTTTCTTTTTCTCCTTCCCAAGCTATCATTCTTTCAATTCTATTTCCAAAAAGCTCGTCTTTCCAAATACTGTATTTGGAAATATTAAAGCACATCAGTGATCCAAAAGACATACTACATATGTTATTCAGCTGCAGTATGTATCGAAGGTGAAGGATGATGTTTTTGTATTTAACATGTTAAACAGTGGTTTTGACTACTGGGCTGTATTGAGTCCGGAGCCTACAAACCTTTGTATTCTTAATGTTGAGTAGACAAATTGGGTTGGAACTAGGTGATCTTAAGATCTTTTCCAACCCTAACCATTCTGTGATCCTATGAAATTATCAATAAATGAATTATTTATCGAAGTTAAAGGAGTTAAGTAAGAGTGTTCAAATTATGAGTAAAGGTAATTTACAGGTTGGTGTGGGGAAATACACAAGCTGCACAACAAAACCAGTGTCATTCTGTGTTACAGAGGCATAGGTGTCCTTGCTTGATTCAGCCTAGGCAGGGTGATATTCTCCAGCAAGAGCTGAAGTATCTCCTCAGGCATCTGTGCTGGCTTTTGCTTGGCCAAGTGAAAGACCTAAACCGTCATGTTTCCATCCACCACTGCTGCTCTTACAACTACTTTAAGTCATATGCTCCGCCAGTAATGTAATGTGGCTGTATAGAGAAGAGCTAAAGAAAATCTTAATTGGAAGAAAGACTGGTGACATGCTCAGTTAGGCTTATGCTGTCTGTAGCAGCACATTCGTTGTGGCATCCCAGTTTGTCATTTTGGGACAAGCCATGGAACCTCCTGTTGGCAGTTCTGGTCCAGTGTCATGTTACCACCTTGCTACTATTACCTTCATAGTGTAAACCTTATTGCTGTAATTGTCTCCCTATAAAGGCTATTTTATAAAACAGAGTTTGTAATGAGACTTTGTGTTCTCAGGAGTGAAATGAGCTCCAGAGTCACTGTCATATGTGGGGTTGGGCAGCTAAAATTTAGGTCCGTTGTCTGTACTCCTGTCAACCCTACATTCTGCTGATCCAAGGAAGGAATTCTTGGAGACTGGAATGTTATTCAGAGAGTTTATTAAAATACAGGAGGAAGAAAGAAGGAGCCTTGTGAAACAGAAGAAAGCTCTGGCAGTGGATATGGGAGCAGGCAGGTGTCTGTGGTGTGCTTGCACCCACAGACCATTATTCCATCAGTTTCTGGCAATGATGTAGATCATTGCACCTCAGGGGCAGGGCTGGACCCTCGGACCTCGCACTCTGCTCTGTATCCCCTTCATCCCCTTATTCCTTCGTGGTTGTCTGGCAGGTGAAGAAGGGACCCCTGAACCTCTGCCCCACCACGTGGTACTGGTACCAGTTGCTTCCAGAGGCCTGACACTTCACACTCGCAACTTTCTTACCTTGACCTTTCCTTCAAATGTTGCATGATTGTTGTATTTCTGCCTTCCAAAATAAGTTACAGAGAAGGAATTGGGTATTGCTGCTGGTTGGCTGCTTCGCTGGTGACATGTATAGGAAGAAGCTGTCAGCAATAACGGTTTGCATGTCCCATGGTTTGGTATGTAAAAGTAAGTGGAGCAAGTACAGGTTTTATCAGATATCTCTTATGTTTGTGTATGTCATGCGCACGTACTTAAATGTTTTCTTCCAGTAGATAGATTCTTACTAAATTCTTCATACTGTATTTTCTCATAAATAAAGGGTAATGAAAACATTATGTGAAAAGGCAAATTATCAATTAAATAATGACACTACATAATAGACTTTGCCATTAGATAGATTCACTTCATGTCCTTCAGCTCTCACGATACATTTTCTGATGAGCGCCATAGATACTTTCATTTGCAGACTCTTAAACTTATGTAATGACTTCTAAAAATCTTTAGCAGTAAAGCCATGACTGATAGTGCTGTTACAATGCTTGATGGTGTTCAGAGGCTGGATTGGGCTTGAGTTCTCCATGTTCTGCATGTTACTCTGAAATACAGGGAAATCAGAAGGGCACTTTGGGCAGTTTGTATACAAACTCCTAAAACCACAAAAGAATAAACTCTTCAGTTCTGTGCAGTGATCTAAGGAAAGAAAGGAAGTGATTTTGGGGCAGGAACTACAATCTGCATGGGTTTTGTGGGTAGCTCCTTTCCCTGGCTACTTAAAAACTGAGGATCGTGTGAGTCCATGGAACACAGGTTCCTGTGTGTGCCTTGGAGGAGGGGTTGTTCCCACCACAGTGACACCAGCCTCTTAGTGCTGAATGTTCTTGGTGCCCCAGTTGTTCTGGCTGCTCATGTGCAAGATTTCAGGTCTTCCTCTGAACTGGGGTGTTCCTTTAAGGAGCTGCAATTACACTGCAGTCATTGCCACTTGAATATGTCTTTCCTTTGTGCCCCTGCTTTGTATGGTTGAATAAACCCTTGCTGGGTCACTATTTAATTTGATATGGTCTCTCAGTAAAATGATGGAGAAAAGATGAATTAAGGCTCTGTGCTAGTCATTATCAATCATGGTTTGTGTGCATTACTTATTGCTCACAGTGCTTTTTGACATTAGCCCTCTATAACCTCTCTCTTCATGTTAATGTTGTCTGGAGGTCCTTTTACCCGATGTAGCAGAGGTTATTTATGTAGGTGGTGTTTCTAGGGGGTTTTAAAAGGTCAGCACCATCTCCTGAGGGACTCTATTCACAAAGAAAAGGTTGGTGGAATGGAACTACAACTTTCCAAATTGTATTCTTAATAAAACATTCTGTTTTTAAGGACTAATAATGGAGAGGTGTTAGAATTTTGGTTACACTGTTGAAGTTTTGACAAAATAGCCTGTAATACATCCTGCCTCCCTTGAAGCCATAGGTGCGGTGGGTGGGTGAGGAAACACCAAGCTTCAGTAAGAAATTCTGTATTTGCCATGTCATGAAATACTGGCTGTGTTGCAACCTTTTAGTCAGCTTGTATCTGTGTGGGCTTGTGTGAAACAGAGCAAGGCAGCAGTGCTGATATCAGGTGTATTTACACAGGTCTTGTTTGTGCTGGGGGGGTCGTCAGTGCAGAGCCAAAGTGCTGTGGGATGGCTGCTGGAGAAGGCGATGATGATTGACAGTGGCACTCCCAGCCTCGTAGACGTTGGTTGCACAAAACCTGAAGCTAACTGTCTGTGTGTGAGCCGTGGCAGCAGGCAGGGCTCAGCAGAGAAGGGCATCTGGATGGCAGCGTTGCAAGGCTCCTCACTGCCAGCAGAAAAGAGAGTTCCTGAGGGCTGGGAACACACAAATATCCCAAGCCATTTTCGTGAAGGGGCCCAGGTGGCCTCTCCTCAGGCATGGGTAGGTGATGGAGCAGATCTTCCTGGATGACCAATTGCATAGACAAAGGGGAGCGCTGTGGATGTCCACAGACTGGTTTGGGTCGGAATGGACCTTATAGCTCAACTAGTTCCAAGTCACTGCCACCTCCCACTAGAGCAGCTTGCTCCAAGCCCCTGTGTCCAACCTGGCCTTGAGCACTGCCAGGGATGGGACAGCCACAGCTTCTCTGGACAAAACTTGTTCTAGCAAGGCCTTTGATGCAGTCTCTCAGAGTATCCTTGTAACCCAGTTGGTGAAATGTACCGGGTAGGTGGGTGGAAAGTTGGCCAGCCACCAGGCTCCCAGGGTGGTGAACACAGTCCAGCTGGCAGCGGGATGCTGGTGGTGTTTCTCAGGGGTCCATGCTGGGTTCTGTAGTATTCCACCCCTCTGTTAACGGTGTGCACACCAGGATGGAGCACACGCTCAGCTTCGCAGGGGGTGTCAAGCTGCGGGAGCAGTCAGTGTGCTGGGGCAGGGATGCTGTTCAGAGGGACTTCAAGAGCCTGGATAAACGGTCTGACGGGAGCCTCATGGAGTTCAGCAAAGATTAATGGCAAGCCTTGTGCCTGGGGATGGGATAACCTCATACAGTGGTACAGGCTGGAGGTGACTACTCAGAAAACAGAACAGGACCTAGACCTTGTTGGATAGCAACTTGAACATGAGCCAGCAGTCTACTCTGATAGCGAAGGAGGCCAGCAGCATCTCAGGATGTGTTAGGTTCCAGGAAGAGACAACTCCATCTATCTGGCACTCTGAGGCCACATCACATCTCCAGTGTCTTCTTCTGGAGCCCCTGTACAAGACAGATGTGGGCAAACTGGAGCAAGCAATAGCAGAGGCACCCCTGGAGCTGGAGCACAGGATGTGGGAGGAGAAGTCAGAGAGCCCATGTGTGCTGCCAGGAGAGGGGGAGATGGGCTACTGGCTGCAGTGTCCAACTGATGGCTCTTGAGGGATGGGGCCTGGCAACTCTCGGTGGCAAACAGGGACAGGACAAGGGCAGCAGTCGGCTGCAGCAAGGGAAGATGTCACTAGATCTGGAAAGAGATTTCACCATGAGGGTAAACAGCAGGAGAGGGGCCCAGATAGGTTGTGGAATCACTGTCCTTGGAGATGCTCAAACCTCAGCTGGATATGGCTCTAAGCAGCATGATCCACTTGGCCCTGGTTTAACATTACATCTTTTGAAGTACCTGCTGTGTTGCCAAAGAGGAGAAAAGCAGATGAAAACTGACAGCTGGATTCAAGCCGTTATCTTGGGCTTCATCATAGGTTTGGACTGTGTGATTTTAATTTCTATGTATTGTGCTCCAGTAATTAAAAGTTCAATATAGTTATTTTTAAGACTAAAATGACAGAGCTCCCCTTTTTGATTGGGATTAGTTTTAAGCCAGTTTTGAATGGTTTGAGCAGTGAACCTTTTTCGTTGTTCTGTTTTTGAATAAACGTGGGCTTTTTGCCAAATCTCAGCTTGTGGCTGTGCTGTCAGGAGTGTCACAGAAACTGTGAACAGGAGAGACCCTATTGGGTTTTGGGATCTGTAGTTCAGCCATGAAGGCAGCGTGCTGGGAGCTATGGTGTGTGTGCACCCTCAGGCAGTGGTCAGCAGTGAGCAGAGCCACTGCTGGACTTACTGGGGAGGTTCTTTTTCAGTGTTGATACTAAAAATACTCCCAGTCAAGTAGATATTTGTTCACAGGCACCACAGGGGATTTCTCACCACAGCTGCAGTTTAGGAAGAGGATTTGTGTGAATTAGTTCCCTCTGAACGCAGCCATCAGCTGGATCTCAGAGGAGTGAACCATTAGGATTTCCTCCCTGAACACTGCCTTCTTAGACTTAGGCCAATGTACTTGCTTCCAAAAGCCCACATTCTTAAAAGACTTAAGAACCTATAGACACCAACAAACAACTGATGTTCCTTACTAAGTATCTCAGAAACATCTATTCTCCTATATGTCCATCTGTGGTTACAGAACTGCTGCCGTCAGGTCCCAGGAGATCTAGGGGGTGGAGGTGCAAACTTGAGTGTGCTTGGAAGAGAAGTCCCTTTACTCTGTAAAACCTTTCTGCGTTTAGGAGGGGTTTTCTCCTTTTGTTTATAGGAAATCGTTACATTTGGCTGAACATGTGTTTTGTTAATTTATCTTATTCCATAGAATCATTTAGGTTGCAAAAGAACTGTAAGATCATTCTCTCTTAATGTATGTCCTGTGAGCTACTGAAAGCCAGCTCTAAGTAGAATCATAGGATCAGAGTAGCTGGGTTGGAAGGGACCCTGAAGCTCATCCAGCTCCAAGCCCCTGTGTCCAACCTGGCCTTGAGCACTGCCAGGGATGGGGCAGCCACAGCTTCTCTGGGCACCCTGTGCCAGCGCCTCGGCACCCTCACAGGGAAGAGCTTCTGCCTAAGAGCTCATCTCAGTCTCCCCTCGGGAAGGTTAAAGCCATTCCCCTTGGCCTGTCCCTACAGGCCCTTGTCCCAAGCCCCTCTCCAGGTTTCTCATCAGCCCCCTTTAGACACTGGCAGACTGTTACAAGGTCTCTCCTGAGATCTTATCAGACCTTGTCTTTGCTGAGATATCAGTAAATACTTTTTGCATTCAAGCTTTCAGTAAGCTATTATTTATTCAGTAAATAAACACTTCAGAACCTTCATAAGCCACATTTTGAGTGCAAGAACCCTAGTGGGAAAGGGGCCCTGGTAAAGAAAAGGTGTTGTATCTGGTTGGTCTTGATGGTGGTTACCATGCTGGTGCCTGAAAAGGGAGGCAGGGGGGAACCAGCATCTGAAGGGTGCTGAGAAAACAGCCCATGTAGGTGCTGTGAGGCACTTCACTACTCCAGCAGTGGCTGTGCCTGCACAGTGTGCATGGGGAGGTAGGTAAGTCCCTCAGGAGGGCTGTGCCTCAGGAGGACGATACCCCTGAGCAGGGGTGCTGCACTCCAGCTGGCACTTCATACGTGATGCATCTTTTGCTGCAGAATCACTGGCATCGTTCCTTAGGCCTGTCTGGTGCGGTATTCATTACCAGAGAACATGAGCATAGCCTCACATGCGTTGTTAACTGTGAATAAATAGGATGCAGAATCATGTCTTTTTGTGGGAGGTTGTAATTCATGGCAGTGGCTTAGGAGTGGCGCTGGAAAAATCCTTTTGCTGTATCATAAGTGCCATATGTTGGCACGAGCTGATTTGTGGCTTGCTCGCGGCTGTTGCCGTTTTGATAAATGTAATGCTTTACCATTATTTAAATTCCCCTTAACTTTTACAGAAATATTGGGTGGGTTGGCTCAGCAGGAGAAATGGCTCCCTAGCACATCTCATTCATTTTAATTTGATGTAGATCTCTGCTGACACTTTACAGTCCAGGTAAAATTACAAAGAAGCCAAGACATTTGTGCATAGGCAGGAAGAATTTGCTGGTTTAGGCTGAGCAGAACTACGGTTGTGAAGCTTTCCTAATTGGCTGTCTGTCATCTACAAACAACTACCAGGGCTTATATTAATTTTACATGTAAGTCTATAAGTGCTGCAGGGCCAAGAATACAAAATCATTCTGGGATTTAGAACAGACACAGTGTGTGTTTCATTGTACCTCGGCCTGTGTGTCGTGCACATTAGTTACAGGGTATGGATAACTTTGGTTTATCTTGTTCTCTGTGTAAGTACATTCCACTTTTCCAGTCATCCTTTGCTTAAGGTGACTGATTCTTATTTGCTTATTTTTCAGTGCAAGTGGTCCAGAAAAGGTTTCATTCGAACAAGGTGGTGTATTACTGATTGGTAAGTTGCATCTTTAAGTTATTTCTGCTTAGGTGTATGTTATGGATGTTTTTGTTAACAGTCATTTCAAAGAGGTATTCATATGTATAGATTGCTCTGTTCATAGAACAGATTGCTTCCAAAGCAGTTGCCTTGCTTTGTTATTTATTGGACGCATCATGCTCAGTAAGTTGTGATGGTGCACAGCAAAAAGTGATGTTACTGTTCACATGTATGTGCAGGGAGTGTGGGGTAACTCAGGCCATAAGCAACCTCTCAGTCAAGCACGGTCAGAAACCTCGGTGTGTGTGGCCAGGGCCACAGGAGCCAGTGTGGAGCTAAGCTCACACCTAACACAGCTGAAGCTCAGGGGTACACAGCCCTCACCTCTTGAGGAAGCAGACTGTTCTCCATGCACTCCTAAAGCCAGCACTTTAAGCCCAGTCCACTTTCCACTGAAGTCAGTGGAGGGACACTACCTTTAGTGTGCAGCTTTTACAACCAGTTCCTGCTACGGTACTTTTAGTGGAACAGAACTTTTAATTTGTTGTATTCAGGTTGGGGTTCACATTTTGAAGTCAAGGCATGGTGCTGCTCAGTGTGAGGTTCCTTAGTGGCATCCTAAGGTAGAACAAATCAGCTGGCAGCCCAGTGCAGGGTGGGATGGAGAGAGAGCAGGCAGCAACACACCCCTTGTATGTATGTTATAGTCACCTAAATATATGTGAACGTTCAACATCCTTCCCTTCCTCCTGTGGTTGTTTCACTTCTTAGAATCCTAAGTTTGATTTGGAGGCCTGATGAGTGTTCTCACGGGCTGCCTGCCGAGTGTTGAGCAGTGCTCTTGCTGCTTTGCATTGGCATCTGTATTAGATTAAGCAAACAGCTTGTGAGAAACGAACAAGCAGCAGGTTTTCTCCCTTTGCAGACTCATGACCCACAGGCAGGCAGCTCTGGGAGAACGTAGGTTCCTGGTAATCTTTCCAGATACCTGTGACATGGCATGTGATTCCAGCAGAAGAGATCTGCAGAAGTGGGCATTTAGCACCAGTTGCTAATCTGGCCTTTGCTCCTATACCGTGACTTTTCCAGGCCCTGTCTCTCCTGTCCTCTTGGATTCCCTCTTTGCAGAAAAATAAAGTTAAGAATTTATTTGTAGGCCTTTCCAAGAAGAAGCAGCTCTTAGAGATAGATGTAAAGGAAATGTTCTCTTGCAGGTTGATATTACAAATGATAGTTCTTGGAAGGAGAGTGTAGTTGGCTGTTCCGATCGGATACTGTACTATGCTTATGGCTCCCAAGGGCACACTGGGAGATAGGAGAGAGGAGGCTCCCAGCTCTTTCTGTGAGCTGTGTGCGGTAGTTCTGCACCTGGAGTAGTCTGTGGTTATGATCCACATGGTCCAACGACATCTCAGATGTTCCTAAGGAGAAGTGAAAGGGGCAAGTTACTGTGAACCATTTCTGGAGCAGGAAAGTGAAATATTATGGCAAATACAGAGGGCTGGAAAATACACCTGCTCCGGGTGTAAGTGCACAGCGTGTCTGTCTGCAGTATGACGAGGGCTCAAACCCCGCCTGTGCATGTGCACGTCAGCAAAGTTCAGGCCATTTTCATACTCCTGACTTGTGATTGATGCATTTCTACATGTGGATAGTTAATAAAAATACAGGCAGGAGAGAATGCTCCTGTGTGAACCCTTGAGGGGGCTGTGAGTTTCCCTGCACATCATCACAGAGTGAACCTCGTGCCAAATCCAGAGAGGTTCCAACAGCCCCAAAGAGATTTCAGAGAACAGTCCCCTGTCCTCCTCTGTGATTCAGTGACCTGAGTCCCTCTATGCATCCAGGTTTGTCACCTCATTATTCTTCATTAGCTTATCTCTAGTGTGGATGAAGAACTAAAGAATCTTGGGGCACTCAGAGGTTTCATTTTAACAAAAAGTGAGAGTGCTACACAACCACGTGCACTTCATTTTGCCTTTGTTTTTGGTGTCTTGAATATAAGGGGGTGGCATTTATTTCTATTCCAGTAGTTCTTAGTGTTACGTGTTAGTAGGTGCATGGTAGTGCCCTGAATGCATTACGGTCTTCAATATTATTTACTTATATAGTTTATATTTGGTAGGGTGTGGACTAGAGAATACATTTATAAATGTAGGTACGGCATCACCCTGGGAGTGTTGGCAAGTACATCAGAAGCCCGAATCAGCAGTCAAAATTGGTTTGATATTTTAAAGGAAGCAAGATTGCAAGCTTACAGTCAGGGAAGTGCCAAGCATTGCACTTTGAGAGGAGAATTCAAATGCACAAACACACTATTGGGAGTAACTGACTCATACTATATAACCTACAGTGTAGAACAGGATCAAGGGAGGAGCTGTAGAATATGGCACATGATTACGTTAGTGAGTTGAGAATGGTGGGAGTGTTTCAGTAAGAGCTGGAAAGAGCCTCCTCTGCAGGCTGGTTGCTGGCTGTCTCTCCTGCAGAAAGGGCAGGAAGAAATCGGTGTCATTACTTGACAGGACAAGCAGTGTCGTGAGGGTTTGAACGTAAGGACAGGGAAGCTGTAGGCGGAAGGTAACACCGTGCCTGGAGGAGCAGCTCTCAGCTGACAAGTCTTGCTGTGGCCATCAGCCTTGCTTCCAGAAGTGTCAGACAGGAAAAGCAAGAACCCGCTCAGAGCAGCTGACATGGCTCCTTTGTCCTTGGAGCATGCCTGTGCTGCCAAGGGCAGGAACAGAACTGAAGCAGGCTTGGACAGAGAGCTTTAAACCAGCCCAGTATGACCACCCCTGTGTGCTGCCTAAAAATGTCACTGAGACTGGACTTGGTCAGTGCTGTGGCACTTTCATTTTGCCTCTATTCTTCCCATAATGTCCTTTCTTATTTAAGTGCTGGCAACTTTCATGGAATCATATAATCCCAGCCTGGTTTGTGTTGGAAGGGACCTCAAAGCTCCTCCAGCTCCAACCCCTGCCACGGGCAGGGACCCCTTCCACTAGAGCACCTTGCTCCAAGCCCCTGTGTCCAACCTGGCCTTGAACACTGCCAGGGATGGGGCAGCCACAGCTTCTCTGGGCACCCTGTGCCAGCGCCTCAGCACCCTCACAGGGAAGAGCTTCTGCCTTAGATCTAACCTGAACTTCCCCTGTTTAAAAGCAGTTTAAGGATATACATTTATACCCGAGACATTTTTTACCCTTGTCAGTCTAGTGTAATAGTTATTATCAGTGTTCATGGAATCTACCCAAAATGTATTTATTGAAACAGTAACCACAATTGTGCCCTCAAAGTCAAGTGCAGCAACTTCTATAACGTAACAATATTATGCATGTGGGAGCTGATGGGGCATCCCACTTTCTGCAGGTGCTCAGGCACCTCCTTTCCAAAATACAGTGTTGTTAGTGCTGTTCCCTAAGTATCCCTTTGGAGGTTCAGTCCCTCAGGGCAGGAATTGCTGCATGCACTGGTTGGTTTGAGGGGCTTTGTTAGGTGGATGTGGTGTCTCTAGGTGAAAAGAACATTCCATGTTTCTAGTTCCATTGTGACTCACCATGTCCCATCACCACATCACCAGAAGATGCAGAGCAGGTCTGTAGGACACAAGAAGCCAGGTATAAAGCAGAATACCAGTTTGGCTGTAACAACTGCACAGGTTGGATGTGCCCTGTCTTCCAGCAGTGGGAAACCAGAGCTCAAAGGACAGTTTGCCTTCCAGGTAACTCCCAGCCAGCGAGAAGTGACACCTCTGTTGTGATTAGCACAAGTGACAAAGGGAAACTCCTCCGTCGCGGCATGTTTATAGCAGAAAATTCCCTCTACATAAAGGTTTTCTGCCATGGAGAAAAGCAGGACTGTGATTTAAAACAGGGAGTGATTTAAGGTACAAGAATACATTTGCATACAGCTTCATTGTAAGGCCAGCAGCACTAATAGTGTTAAAAATACTGATACTAGCCAAAACCAGCCAAGTGCTGTGCAAGCCCTGCAAATGCCAGTCCTTGTGCCATGGGACTTACGCACTGATAGTGAATGTATGTTAGGATGTGGTTATAGATACCTATCACAGTGGGAAAACAGGGGATGCATGGTGATCGTAAGAAGACCTGCTCGAGCAGGTCCAGAGGACAGATGAGGAGTTGCAGTGATATGGTTTAACCTTTAATGTCAGTAAAATACTCCTGTCAATAGCTTTTCATTGTGTTTCTTGCAAAGCCACAGTTCTACTGTATAAACTTAAAGTCGTTTGCATGTTCAATTTTGGTTTGCGCATACTTTAGTGAGGGCACTGCTTGATTTCTGCCACCTGTAACTGACAAACAGCTTTTCCTTTTCGTGTGGTGCATGTTTCAGTGAAAGCCTCAATGCAGTCATCCCTGTCAATGAGCTGCTGTAAATTTGATGACAGTGTGTGATGATTTCCTGATGAAGAGAGCTTGATTTTATACCATCCATGTGAGGAAATACATGAGAGCGAATACCGTGTGTTGTTATATTGAATGCTTTGCTGATGCAACAAATGGTTTCTTTCTTTTATCCTGAATCATTTTATTTTTTTCCTTTTTTTGTCATAGTGCCTTTGACTTGGTAAACATTCATCTTTTCCATGACGCTTCCAATTTAATTGCTTGGGAAACAAGCCCATCGGTTTACTCAGGAATACGGCATAAGGCTCTTGGCTATGTACTTGATAGGTATGTATTAGCCTTTACTAGCCTCTTTCAAACTTCTCTGTTCATAAGCAGCATATAAAAGATTTTTTAAAAGGCACGCACATAAATGTAGAGGGTTTTATGCTGTGAACTGGAAATGGTCACTTCTGATGAGAGTTTTCTAGATGGTGCCAATTACAGATCACTTTATGCCTCTTACTCTGTTAAGCTAAATTACTGAGATTGGAGAATCAACCTGAAGTCACCAGAACTTGTAGAGTAGAAAGCAGGTTTGGTTTTTAAACGTGTTGGTTAGATGAGCTGCTCTATAGTCTGCGTGGAGTCTCGTAACACTGCCATGAAAGGCTGTTTTTCAGTTACAGAATAGGAGACTACAGCCTGTTGGAAGGGACCTCTCGAGTCTCTCGTTGATCCTCCTGCTCAGAGCGGGGCTGGCTTCAGCATCGGATCAGGATCAGTTCCAGGCTTACCCAGCCGAGCTTGGAGGAGCTCCCCGCACGGTGACCTGTAGTGTCTCTGGGCCACTCGTTCCTGGGTTTGACTGCCCTCATCGTGGAGCTTTTTCTCCCTGATATGCAGACAGGATTTCCCATTGCCCTCAACTTTGGCACGTGTCACTGGGAAGAGTCTGGCTCTGTCTTTTCTGTAACTATCAAATAGATGAAGCCGGCAAGAGAATGCTGCTGGAGCCTTTTCTTCTGTGAGCTGAGCAAATTCAGCTCTTCCACCCCTCCTCATAAGCCATGAGCTCCCCCCCAGCACTAAACCCTGTGCTGTTCATATCTCAGGCCTAGCTGGGTGCAGTAGGCAGCTAATCTTTTTCAAGCAGCAGCACAGTGTTTGTGTGCAGTCATCACTGTTATTAATAACATCTGTTACAGAGTTGATTCATCTGGTGGGTGGTACCATACAGGGGGTAGTCCCCCAAACACCCAACAATTTACAGCTGCTCTCATTAGCTGTTACAAAGCTTTTTCTTGAGCAAAAAAGTGTGGTTTCTGCATGGGTGCACGTGCTTTGGCAAAGTGAACAGGCATTTATTTCTCTTGAGGTACTGCTTGACTGCATGAGATATAGAGGTGGGAAGTGTCTCCTCAAAGCAGCCATGGCAAACACTGTAGATTTTAACTGGAAGAGGCTCTGAAATGTGGAATGGGCTATAAATACTTTTCAGTTACTTTCTGCCCAAGGTTCTATTTCTTTCTTTAAGTTTTATCTTCTTTAAGGCAGATACTTCAGCAGCAGAGGCTGCTTTCCCCACTCTGTCGGAAGAAGTGCTTTTCCTGTGCACCCCAGCAGAGGGCTGAGTAAGAATTCCTCACAAATAGGCTTTTATTTTCACTTGGGGGGGGGGGGGGGGGGGGGGGTGATACAAGGCTGAAGAGGAAAAATCCAGTGTGTCTGCTCTGATGTGGCTTGTAAAACCTGTTCAAAGCATCAGAAACCACTGGGGGCACTTGGGAGGTTTGCAGGCTGGTAGGATGCGGTCGTTTATGAAAGGTACCTCTAAAGGTCTTTATAAAAAGGGGACAGACACAGTAAGATCAAGATCTGCTCTCAGTGCAGTTTGAGAGCCACGTTTTCGGGTTCTGTCACACACAGCATGGGAGAGGCTTGGTTTTATCTCATTTTAACTCAGCTCCATTGGTCTCCTTTTCCTCTGCTTTGCATGAGGAGCTGCAGCAAACCTGTGTAAAGCTCCCATGTTATTTACTGCACACTTGTTTACAGCTTGCACTGTGCTTCAGGAGCTGGTGTGGGCTCTGGACCTCCCACGATGCCCAGGCGAGGGTAAGGTAGCAGGACGGTGGTATTAGTGTCAGCTCTGGGTCAGAGATGTCAGGATGGTCTATCATTAAAATGTGACACTGCCAAAACCTGCCCCAGCTCCCCTGTTCTCGGGGCTCTGGTTGCACAACGCTCCTGTGAGCTGGCATTCAGTGCAATTGTGCATTGGGAGGGAGCAGCCAGCCGCAGATCCGGACCTCCGCAGCGCGGTGATGGGCTGCCTGCCACAAAAGGGGAGTTCTGTACGAGCAGTGAATAATGGGAACCCCCTTTCATCGGCAGTGCTAACCTTTTGGCAGCCACCAGCAAACTCTATTCTGATCCCCTGATTGGGGAGGACAATACACTGGAGCTTGCTCTGAATGAATGCTGCCACCAACAGTGTCCCCATTCAGAGGGTTTTGGGAACCATCTTTGACCATTGTCTGCTATCACCCCTTCAGACAGTAGGAAAAGGGAAAGTGAGAGCGTCTATAGGGGGAAAGTACTTCTTTTCTTGGCTTTAATCTCTCTTTAAAGCTTCATAGATCTACATTTCCAGCTGAGCTACTGGAACTATGCAGTGTCAGATAAATACAGAAGAGAGAGGTTTCAAGCTGAGCTTTTAAATCCCCTTATCTGCATGAACTAATAATGCAGATTTAGTGCTGTTAAAAACAGAGACTGATAAGTCTTTTCCTTTAAAGCCTTTAAACTTCTAAAGAGCATTTAACAGCAATGCAGTTCAAACCCAATGAACAATACTGAGAAGGAAAACAGTTTAATGAGCTAAACCTTCACTGAATGAAGCAGAAACACCTTCTCACAGTTGGTTTGGGTCACTGTGAGAGCAAAGGAAAGCACAATCCTGCTCCCGCATCTTCATAAACATGAGTTTAGAGCAGCCTTGTAATGTCTGGTAAAAGCCATCACAGGAGTTTGGAGCACAGAAGAGAAAAGAGTTTGCAAACAAAGCTCAAATGAATTAGTTTCACTGTTAAAGTGACCGGGGAAGTTGGTTTCCCCAAAGTTATTGTAATTCTGAGGTTTTAACACAGGAGCTGTGCAGCATCCCTGAGTTACTGCGAGGGACAGGGCTGGGGGCACAAGGAAGAAGTGGCAAGTGAACGATTTCAGTTTGCCACTAAAAGTCTTCTCCTGAGGGAGTCTGTTCATAATCATGGAGTAGAAAGGCTTGCTCGGACAGTGGTGTTCTGAAGTGGTTTAGCTTTAATAATGTTAAAAACGAATTACAGAGTGAGAAGAGTACATGCAGCTGGCTCGTGTGCACTGCGCCAGGCTGGTTTCAGCATTTGCCATTGAACAAGTGTGAAGAAAATGTTGTGTTGGATAGACACTTTAAAGACTAAGAGAGCTGGAATTACACTGGGGTGAGGCAAATGCCTGGGTATTTACAAACACATACACAGTGTATACAGTACAGAACTGGTGTGTGTGAGGAGTCTTGGTCAATGCTAATATAAACCAGAAGTTAATTACCAGAAGGCAGTTATGTTGTTCCAGATAAGCATAGATACAGCCACAGCTGAACTTGCTTTACAAATGAGAGTAAGAACACCTGCTTTATGTTTTGTGGGGCAAAAAAAATCTTCCAGGCCCAATTTGGGTAATTCCCACCTGCAGTTATCTCTGTTTCCATAATACTTGGGGATTATATTTTCTAAAGTCGGAGGGTTTAAGCTATACACAAGGAGATGTCATTTACATTTTACTTTAGTCTTTCTTGACCTGCTGTAATTGATGCTTGTGCATGTGTCATATTAATTAATCATATTGGCCTATTGGTCATGTCCTTTAGACCCTTGCTGGGGAAAAGTGTCCCCTGAATTAGCAGCCTGGCCAGGGACTGAGCTGAAGCTGTAGCCCGGGGTCCTTTAAAAGTATGAGGAGCGCGTTTGCAAAGGGCAGGACGTGAGATGTGAGCATGATACAGCAAGTCCTGCTGTGCAGCCATTTAAACTTCCTGAAATTATCTGGAGCATTCGGATCCATAAAATGAATGTGTTTTTTTTTTCAAGAAAGTGACAGTGCTCTTCTGTTTCCCTATTGAAATGTTCCCTGGCCTAGTTCAACAGAAACATTTTTACATTACAACTGTGAAATCTTGGCATAAAGCTCCCCTTTGTGCCCTTCATTATTTTCTCACAAATATAGTCCATTGTCACATAGCTGAAGTTAATTTGATCAACATTGGGACATTTAACTTTTATGTCCGGTCAAAGGAGCTGTTTCATGCTCGTTTTGGGTATTCAAAAGAAATGATTGCCAGAAAAATAATGTTACTATTAACAATTCAGAGCAATTAGTTTCCCAGGGAGAGGCGATGTGATGCACCGGCTCCACACAACTATTCTTTGTCATTTTATGGATGCTCATCAGTCAACTGTCACATCTTCTCAAAGACCCCTCCAATCTAAATGTTTCTCTTTGGGCTTTTCCCAGAACTAGCAGCTGAATGAGCAAAAGAAAAGCCACTTAGTTTCTAGGCAAAGGAAAACTTCACTCCAAAGATCTGGGTCATTTGAGAAGATCCTCGGAGCAGCTCCTCTGGGGGCATTTTATTTTTGGTACTTTGTTTTTTGCAGCAGTGGCTTTAACTCCAGTCATGCACCTCGGAACGGTTAGAGGAATTTCTGTGTATTCAGATAGAATGCGCAAATAAACCTTCCACCCAGATGTCTGCTAACAAAGGTTTAAAACCCTAGACCACATTCAAAAAGACAGCTTTTCATTAAACACCCTGAGGCTCATCTCATTCATATTCACTAACATTCCCCCCCCCCCCCAACTAAGGTTAAGTGCTCTCAAAATTAGCCTGTTTGTATAATATGCTCTTTAAAGAGTAAATCCAGCAAAATTGTCTTGTTACTCTCAACCTGTCAAATAACAGTCACAGATGCTTTTTTCTTTGCTTCGTGTTCTTCTCCTGGCTCGAGCTTCTGCATGTCTGGTGCAGTTGTCCCCGACTCTACTCCTGTGTCCTTTGGTCACAGAAACATTCTGAATTTGAATTAGGTGTATTTTTAGCAGAAAGATCATTTTGTACTCATTTGCATTGTAGCAGAAAATACATGGTTATAATGTTAAGGACACAAGGAATGATGATTTCTGACTGTTGCAGTCAGTAATTTTGCCTTTATTCTGTTGTTTTCAGCATTTGGGCCTTTTTTATTATTTATTTTTCATTTTGGCATTGATTAATAACTAAACAGGTGAATACTACATTTGCAGCA